ATCGGAGTTGCGTTTGGCTGAGTTTGCAATATTTTCGCAGTTTTTATTGTTCCCAATTGATTTAATTCGCATTTCATGCTAAATATTCGTCAATAAAGTGCCGAAAATATGTGCTAATGGCAAATCGCTTAGCTCAGCTCTGTCCCCAGGTGCCCATAACAATTTAGAAACACGCATTAAACGTGCTCACAAATTGATATCTATTTCTCAACATTCAAATGATTTTTAATTGCCCGACATTTGCTGCTGATCAACTGAATAAATAATTTGTTTTATTGTGTGAAATAATGCGTGAGAAAATAAGACTAAAGTTTAGAAAAATCAAATATTGTAAACAAATACAGTTTCAACTCTGTGCGAATTGAGCTGAAACTTGAATCTGTCATAGGCGTATTTGAGGAATTGAATACAAAACAAGATTTATGCCATTTCCTAATTATGGTAGACCTATAAAAATGGTCTCAAAATGTTGAAATGAAACCCTAATTTTGTCTAATTGAACAGAAGTTTATCATAATTTAATTTCCTGCTACTTTTATAAGGGTACTTATTACACATTAACTAATTCATGAGGGCTCAGTTATACATATAAATATACATATGTATAGTTGCCTCTATATAGAAAAGCACGTAAGACGGCTTTAATCAAATATAAATGGCGGAAAGCTATATCCAATCCCATCTTAAGCTCATATTCTGATTTTGAATGAATTATGTATGAGGTATCTTAAGAGTGGAGTAATATAAATACCAACTCTGATCTCTCTAGTCTCTTAGCTTTGGTTGTAATGTAATGATTGCAATCTAGGTATAATATTCAGTCACATTTAATGATGATTTTGCGTAAATTTCAAGTCTTTCATTCAACTTGGCTCCAAGCAAACGTTAGCCAAACAGCGCCAATTCGGTTTGTTGAGTTCGCCTCTTGCAATGGGTTCAGGCAATAGCTAGAGAAATTAATTGAGTGTTTGTTATAAAGAATGACAATAATCTGAAATAAAATACTTTAAGGCTAAAAATTATTTGAGCAGTTTTATATTTAAACTGGAAAGGAAATCTTTAATTTAAATAATAATATGATAAAAAAGTTGAACAAATTTTGCCTTTGCTTCGACTTAAGATCAAATTTTTTTTAATAATGCATTGACTATATTCTTAACAATATACTTAAATTTTAATAAAATAACCATTTAAATAGTCTTTAAGATATATTTTTACTATAAATTACTTTATTCATATGACAATAATCGGATCTGTGGAAACAAGCTTCAACTTAAACAATATTTTGAATATAATGTATTATTGTAACAGACGAAAGTCTGTTCTGAAATATTCTGTTTATATTAAAATTATATATATTTTATAGTATAGGGAAGTATGTTTTTGTTATTACAATCTTTAAATAGTTAAATTTTTAATTTGTTACATAATATGAAGCATTTCCAATATATTTTCACTTAGATCACATAATGCAATTAAAATGACGAAAAAGAATGCTTCATCGTTGTGAATATTTAACACATTATCCTTTCATTTTCTAATTAAAGGACGGCACACATGTACACATTGGCCAGAGGACAGATACAATTGGATTTCCACACTGGACAGCAAAAAATGAACAACATTTGAGCATTAAAAATTCCAAATGCGTCTAGGTGAGTGCCTCTTCACATGCATATGAATAAATGTGTGTTAGCTCCTTATTTATGAGTGTTTCTATATGAATTTCATTCTGTTGTGTGTGTGTGTGTGTTTTATAATGAAACTCAACTGTGTCGAGTGTGTTGATGAAATGTGGAGTCGAGAATAAAACTGGCACAGCTTGGATGTGTGTCAGTGTGCCTGTGGCAGGGTAGCTAAGGGCAAAGGATATTTGGTAGACTGGCCCAAAAGGAACGGCAGACTGGACGTGTCGTCCAATTTGTGCCATGTGTGCCATGTTGCCCTTTCGCTGAGCCCAAAACAAGAACGAGATACAGATACAGAATGTAGGTGAAGTGCGGCCGGTTGGCCGTCTGGTCTGCTGACCGCTGGGCGTCGACCGGTGCGGAGTTCCAAACGAATCTCGAGCCAAAGCGGGCGGCATGACATACTCAAAGACTCATTTGCATATTCGGCAAACGGTGAATGTAGCAGGGAAAGTGCTGCTGCCCACAGGAAAAGCGACTTTCAATTCGATTCTCGTGACTGTTTTTTTGTTTTTGTTGGTTTTTTGTAATTAACAAACCAATTTGGTGCGTTGCCTTTTTGAATTTGGTTATTTATGCCTTCACGGCCGCCATTAAAGCGCCTTTTGGCCTATCGCTGGGCGAGTGAATGAGTTATGCATTTGGCTTGATACCGATCTAATTATATGATTTATGCGCTCTGCATAATGTTAAACTATTTTGGGTTCTGGATAAGCGAGCCACCTAATCCCCGCCAGGCGCAACTGCAACTGAAACTGCAACACCAAGCCGCATGCCACATAGCCCACAGATAAGCGAGTGGCGCATGCGGCGAGGGGAGCGAAATGCTGTTGCTGCAGTTCTCGCAATTTACGAGCTCGCATTTTGCATAGTTTCAAATGGCTGTTATACTCGTGCCGCAACACAAATTCAAGCCCAAAACACAATTCATTTCACCCGGCCCAACTAGCCACATCCAAAGCGTCGCACAGCCGCATACAAATCTGCCGTTTTGCATTTGGTGGCCATATATCATTGCCCAGCAGTCGCCCCACAAGTGCCCCAAAGCAGAAATCCATGTACAATGGGCCAGGATTAACCAAAATTTAATAGGCAATTGATGGAAACGCTGTTTGTGGTAGAAAAACTTACTTAAATATTTGAAACTTCGAATTGATTTTACCCCAAATCGTATCATAGCTAAAACTTGTGCTAGAAGAAATTTGTAATCATGAGTATTAGGTCAACCTCAGTAAATAAACGAATTTAAGCAGGAAATAAATCAAAATTGTCTAATGAATGTTTTGGCTAAACTTGGCTTTAACTTGGCTAAAAACCTTCTAACCATATTGAGAACGCATTTACCTTATCGGGAGCCCAAATATAGCACGAATTTATTTATAAAAATGTATTGTAATATTAACAATAATTTTATATTAAATTAAAAAATAAATTTCAAGCTAATTTTAGTTATTAACGGGTTTTCTTTTAATTTGAGAAACACAGCTTTACAACCTTATGTCAAGAGCCAAAACTTGCAAAATGCATCCTCAGAGAGTTTAGTTTGAATAGCAAGGCGAACCAGCCACAACTTCATTTCAATTAATATAGTATTTATAATAGTATATAGTATTAAAGTATTTATATATAGGTTTATAGTTTAAAAAAAAAGTTTACATTTATTTTTTAATTTACATTTAACGTTGGACTCACTTTAAACGTGTTTAGTTTCCAAATTCGGAATATATTTTCTTGCAATTAATCAGCGCTATAGAATTTTGTATCTATTAAAGGAATGTTTAATTTATGTATTATAAATATTCATTTATTAAGGGATTGTTAAATTTATTTTTTATAAATAACTATGCAAAAATAGATAGATATTCGTTGCCAAGTCTATTTATATAGCTCTACAAATTAATAAACAAATTACTTTTAATAATTTATATATTTAGTAAAGGAATGTTGAATCTTTTTCAAATTAAAATTTATGTCACTTTCAAATTATTTTTTAATATCTCTTACCTATTATCTTCCTTATTAACATTAATTTTTTATCAATATAATTGAAATTTTGTCCATGGTGTTTATTTGCGGTGTCTGGAACGGGTTTTGGTCCTGCCTCCCGCTAGCCGTTAAATGAGTGGCTGCAACAAATCCAGCGCTCGAGCTAACTCCCGGTTCAGTTTCAGTTTTTCCGTTGAATGGCACCAAAAATTTATGCACATTTTATTGACCACAACACTGAGAAAAAGCACATTTGAGTTGTTGTACGTGTGCCTGTTGTTGTTGCTGTTGTTGTTGTTGTTGTTGCTGGCACAACAACATGTCCAAAAGTGTTTTATGGCCGTTGTGGGTGCTCAAGTGGCCATTTTGGGTTTGTTGCCAGTGAGGGAGGGAGAGAGGGAGCTGCATATGCACTCGCCGGTCTTGTCCGACAAGCACTTGGCCAGCAGAAATGTGTAGAACACTGAATACAGATGAGCTTAGACGGAGAGCCAACTAAATATGGCTATTTGCGACTTGAAGCATTTGATTTATATCAATTTATTCAACTGGGGAATTTCTTTTAAGCTAATCGCAATTAAAGCCGAGTCAACGACCTGGGCCAATGCGGTTCAAAGTCAAAAACTCAATTAGCTGTCGACGAGTGGAAGGGGAACATCAGCAGCTCGGCGGCAGTCATCTAAAAATAAGCGTGCATTAAAAAGCGCAATGGAGTCGAGTGGAAATCTCGTTAAAAGTCAATAACAGACGCCATTAAATGCGCATGAAAATGAAATGAGAACCGCTCGATGAGGCGGGCCTTGGGCCACGCAGAGATTGTGGGGCGCGGTCTTTAAAGCAACAGCCACGCGCCCACTTGAGCCGTTCAATTCAATGAAGTAATTCCAGCTGACCTCACTGTAGCCCAGACAAGTTCAATGGCATTTGTGCATAATAAAACTCAAGATAGATTGTTATTGAATTATATTTAAACAAAATTCTCAGATAAGGGAGATAACTTATGGATTGCTGTGCATATGTTTCATATACATCTTTTCAATATAAAATAAATTCAATAAATTATTGAAGTTTTAGAATACAGGAATAAAATCTGAGTCGAAAAATAGTTAAAAATTAATTGTGTTGGGTATTAATCTTATCTTATGCTAATTATTACAATAAAATTCAGAGAAATTTTAAAATAAATAAATATGATCTGAAAATATTCTTTTATTTATTTCTAATTTCTGCTACCTTTCTATCTACTCAACAAACCAAATTATTAATAACTTCAATAAGAAACGAAGTCACCTTTCTAAATCTGTGACTTGTCCAATATTTTAAAATTTTGGTTTTTCAGTCTACCGACAGATCTCATATTAAAAACATTTTAAAAGATTTGTGACTCGCACCAAGAAATTCGTATTTGAAAATCAACCAAATCAATCGACGCCACAATGAATCGTACGCTGGAGGATGTCATCCACAAAAACATAGCCAACACGGAGCGTATAACAGCTGAGAATACACTGGGCTACGTGGTGTCGGATAACATCACTGGCAATGTGGCTGCCACATCTTTCGATAATACCAGCGCCCAAGGCATTGTGAAGCACATGAATATCCTTTTGGCCGGACTAGTGCAGAGTGCCATCCGTGATATTGATCCATCCAATTCCGTCTGTTATCTCCGTGTGCTAACTCGCAAATTTGAATATCTCGTTGCGCCCGAGGAACTATTTACTATAACCGTACTCCAATAAAAGAAAAGCCAATTGTGTCAGGAGGAGCATGCGTGTGTACTTAGAGCATTTTTAAAATTCCAAAAAAAGCCATTTAAATATATTGAATATTTGTTAGTATTTCCAGTTATTAGCTTTTGCTTTATCTTTTGCTGACTGTAAAATAATGGAAGATGTTTTGGACTTTAGCTTTAGCTATGATACCACAAAGTAAATTTATATTTTATTTGTCTTCGTTTAAGACAAACTTACGAAATATATAGAAAATGTCTTCATGTATCGTATATTGAGTTGCTTATGCCTTAAGCTTGCAACCCTTCGTCTGGCTAAAAGGAGGAACAGTTGAATGCTTGAGTCAACAATACGAATAGGTATAGATTGCATGAGCAGGCCGAAAATCCTTTATAATACCCAAGTGACATTGGCATTATTTATGGCATGGCTTCATTGGGCAGCCAGGCTGGAAATTTATCCATGAGAATGCGGCATTCTAATGCGATAATTCAAAAGATTTACTTCTGTCAACATGACCATTTTGTAGACAAACTTGGGGTGGAAATGGCCTTTGACCTTTTTCGTTTTCGTATTCCTCTTCTCTCTATTTTTTTGCTATTTTCATCTAGCAATGGATGCTGGCTGCTATTTTAATTTAAAATGGCAGAGCTCGTAACTCATTTTAACGGCGCACCCTCCACACTATCGGAGTGTGTGCGTGTGTGTGCGTGAACTTGTCCTATTTTTACAGGCCTAGGCCTTTGCAGGGGTTGCTCGCTCGTTACAATAACTTATCTGGCCTTTTTTACCCCGGGCCTCGGCAACGCCATAACCACCACGAAGACGCTCCTGGGGTGCGCATTGTACTTATCCATGCTCGATCCCATTCCCATAGCCATTCTTCCATTGCTATCTCGAAGCAGTTGGCCATTGTCTTGAGCCGTTTTGTGGTACATACACATGATAGAGAAATAAATAAAAATTTGTACAGCAATTGTATCTGGAGGATTTCCTTGAATATATAACTGGCTGTTCGTCTCGCTCATGGTCTATTGTGAACTCCACCTTGGTGGCAAGGTCGGGTTCATTTTGCGCACTTCATTTCATTCAGCGTGAAATTCAATTAATCCATGGACCATTTTGCTGACGACTTCATTTCAAGAACTCATCTCTGACTACCCCCAGAGCATTCATATTTTATCTGGCGATTCGTAACACTCGGCATTATATTCAAATAAAACGCTTTTCTCTGCTCAACTCGAACTTCAAGCTAACATGTTAATAGCATACGAACATATCCTTTAGTATGGCCCCCTTTGCCTCTGCCTCTGCTTGCGTCCCTTTGGGCGTGTCCATGGCACATGCATTCAGTTTTTAGGAGAACGCGAGCTGCTCTATGAATTTAATTAAGTTGTGCGACAAACCAAACATGAAATACAACAACAAGCCAACAAGAATCATATATGTATATTAGACTAGCATTGTACCTCTGGGGAAGACCCGCAAACGAGTTGCTCAGGCCCGAAGTCAACTGTCGTTGAAAAAATTACTCTGCATCACGTTTATTCTTTAAAAATTATAATAAGACTCATGCTTCAACAGAATATTGGATGTGACAATATCAATATACATATTATATTCGATTTAGATATTCGGTTTAGTTATCACATTCTATACATCTCTGTAGCTATGATTCCATTCAAGTTATCCAAAGTGAATAAGCAAAAGTTAATACTTAAATATCTGGCATAATAAAAATTATATTTATATAATTCTTTAAAGCTTCATTCACAAATAAAAAGTTCATTGCTCAAAAATTAGGCCATTTACTCAGTTCCTAAAACTTTCCTGATTCTCATTATTTGTTTAGTGATACTATGAACAAAAATTTCTGAATGAAATGCAAAGCAAATCGGAGCTGTTGCATTAACGAGCCTGTTCCAAATCAATTAAGTTAATTCAATCGTCGAAAAGCCATAGAAATGGGATTTAAGTGAGTGCCACAAGAACCAACGGCTAAATATAGAAAACGCACTCACACACACACACACACACACACACACACACACACACACACACTTTCGTATACGTGCACAGTGCGTGACAGGGATGGAGATGGAGCTAGAGACTGAGACGGAGCGAAAAGAGCAGTAGAAAAATCCTCTCACTCAAATGCGCAGGCCAAACCCATTTTGCCTCGAACTGGCTCAGCCCCTGCCGCTACACTAAGAAAAATTTACTGAGCAATTAAATTTTTAGATTCATTAATAGTTTTTTTGAAGGAGCTAAAGAATAATGTAATCTATGTTATTGGCAGTTGCATGAATAACTCTTCTGATTTACTAACACATTTTTTGATTTAATTTTTAGTTTTTGTAGGCAAACATAGCTCTCAACAATGCAGCTCAACCGGTTTCTCGCAGTGCACCTTTGGCCGAACCCGTTTTGATGAAATGCTCAACTTTTTTCTGACTCGTTCAACCACCAAACATTTTCTGTTGAGACTCGCAGCGGCGCAGACGTCATTCACATAAAGCGGTGGAGGCATTACAGACATAGTGTTGCCTTACAAAGAGGCGGACGGACGGATGGACAGACGGATAGGTGTACAGACGGAAAAGAACAGAAGAAGCTCTATTAAAAACAACTTCAATAATTAAATAAATAAATTCAAATATATATCTTATGTATATAAATGAACTTAAATAAAAATTCTTTAGTTAAAATTAAATTAAAGCTATAAATATACAAATATTAAAAAAAAAAAACTACAAGTGAATGACATTTACTTGACATACAGAAAGACCCGAAGTGAAAAACGCAAAACCCCATAAAATAATAATGGAAAAAATGAACAATGAAGTTAATGCAACAAAATATAAAGCAATGTTTACATAAAATAAATCGTGTAAATATTGATATAAATAAGCCATTTGCTGCTGCTGCCCACAGTATGTACAGTAAGCAGCAGTTGCAGCTATTATGCAATAGATGGCAGCAGCTATTGCATGCGCCATCTATGGGTCATTATACGCTGACGTCAATGGTGGCTTTAAGAGTCACTGCTTGGGCGGTTTGACTGCCATTGTTACTCCTTTGAAGTTTCTCTGCAAAGTAACAGCGATTTATGCTTTCAGATATGTTATCTTTCATGCTATGCTTAATATTTCAAAATTCATTGATTAGATGCATATGAAGCAAGCTATTTCTTATCAACTCGTATATTTACAAATATTATGCTTATAATACACGTATATTTAGTCTGTTGTCGCATTTCATCAAGGTTCTGCTTGGCGCTGTAATTGTGCAGTAGCTGATGAAGACGCAGAACTTCAAGGTTTACGTGCCCATTTACAACTGCAATTATGGAAAACGAGTAGCACAGAGCAAACTGACTACAAAATGTAATAATAAGTAAGTGCAGTTAAATTAAACCCGATTTTATTTTGGATGAGCTAATAAAAGGAAGCCAACGACTCAGTTGCCAATCAAAGACTTCAATTCAATTTCGTTCGCTTGTCACAACATTTGGGACAGCGCATTAAATTGAAGAGCAGAGCAGAGCAGGGCAAAGCATTTCATTCAAAATCGGAGCAATCGAGGCATCAAGATGTCAGTGAGTGCGAGCTTGAGACAACAAGATTGCATCGATGCATCGTTAGGATCCTTGAGTCCATTGAGGCGAAACGTGGCCACGTTGCGCTGGCTGTGAGCATGGCTAGCGGGTCTAGGGCATTTGGCGAGGCAAAACATGAAAATCATCTTTCAACGCTAGCTCGATGGGGCCCAATAGCTGCTGAAGCTGCTGCAGCGGCAGCTGGAGGGTCTCGAGGTGCTGCATGCGCAGAGGCAAAACCGAATACGTTAACTAAAGCCTCAACTGAGTCGCGGTCCGAGTCCAGTGCAACCATTTGCGCTTCACTTGCCACATCCAGCTCTTCGTACTTGCAATTCCAGCTTTTCATTTCGCTGCCGGCGTTGTCCACAAAATGCGCTGCACGCGAGCACCTCGACATGGCGATGCATTCCGTCCGCCTCGGACGCCAACCTAACTGGTTTTCATGAACAAGGTGCCGCCCTCTCGCCCTACCAGCCACATAGTGGCACAATGGCTACAAAAATAACTCATATATAAATAATAAATACTAAATAATTGTCTATGGCGTATTACATGAAATTTGAGAGTAGTTGTAAAATAATTGTAATTATTATGTTGTTGTATAATCACAAAAGTTTGGTTCTTAATTTGTTGAAAATTAATTGTTGAAAATGTATTTTTTCGTATTTTTATTTTTCTTCGAATTTATTATTTTTATATATTTTTTTTATAATTTTAAGAAGAATTCCTTTCGTGCTAAGTCTTTCTATCCGTGACGTGATATTTGAAATATGCTTACAGAGTTGTGTCTGAGCTATGCCTACATAGGCGAGGTACTTACTGTTCAGCTGCTCTATAGATGGTTACAAATTTATTTTCCCGCTTTATCAGCATGTTCTGGAGATGGACCTCTACCGATCCGAGACTATTGATTTGCTCTAGCGATTGCAACATTTTAAGTGAATATTGTAAGCCAATTTTATTGCTTAATGACTTAGTTAATTATATTATTTATAGATGTTGATCATAGTCAACCCAGAACTTGACATATAGTATTATGAAGGGATGAGATGTGAAAGAGCTTGGCCTTATAGACAGAAAGTACTGAACTGACTTAAAGTAGAGTAAAGTAAAGTAGAGATACCAAGTATACTTTTATTTATATACTTTTATTTATGTTTTATATATTTTCTCTATATATAGCTTTAATAGATAGATATTAGCCAATCATACGTGAGTCTAATATGCAGAGATCTTTGTTAACTCAGAAGAAGTGAGGCGTCATACACAAATATTAAATAAATAATTAATTAAAAAAAATAATTAAATTCATTAAATGCTAATACAAATTCTGCAAAGACAATATTGAATATGAAACACGGATAATTTTTCAGGAATTATGAAACATTGAGTGAATGCTATACATGCATATTTTACATAAATAGGTGCACGTTTTAAAACATATTGATATATTTAT